GCTCTGCCTCCCACGGGGCTAAGTGCAGCCGTAGTCTGATCATGATTTGCGGACACCCTGCTCCACAGGCTCGGGTTCTCCCTTTTGCTCTCAAGTCCAAGATTAGTCCTGGTTTAGTCCTGGTTTATTCCTAATTTAGACCTGGTGAAGACGTGGTATAGTCCTGGTTCAGTCCTGGCTCAGTCCTTGTTTAGTTTTCCTTCTTCAGTCCTGTTTTAGTCCTGCTTCATTTCTGGTTTAGTCCTGGTTTAGTCCTGGTTTAGTCCTTCTGGTTCAGTCACGAATCGTTTACCCCCACCTAAAAAACAGAATACCTTAACTTTTACATCATACCTTTATACATAAGCAAGTATCTTGTTGAAGGACTCAATGGCAGCAGCAACTCTCATAATAGTCTATCCCTGCATTTACCTTTTGCTATTTTATTTTATACTGCTGACAATACCAGATTTATCACTCAGTGTCACAGTGTAAACTTCTTAAATCTTAAAACATTTTGTTTGTTTGTTTATTTGTTCTTTTTTTTTTTTTTTTCATCTTTTCTGCTTTACTCTACACTCCCTCGTGCCCCTCGGCTGTTTACCATCAACATACGTATTTATATTTTAATTTAAATCTGTTTTCATGTGTTATCCCTGTGAGTATCTCTGAAAATATGTCCCTCTGAGCCTCTGCGACATGTTAAAAGCTGGAATGAAATGAAATAATACATAAATATAAAACGAAGGCAGGAATTTGAGCGCGTGGTCGGGATTAAATGTGTGAACGCTGCAGCAGAAGACACTGGTTTAAATCTGAATAATCTACAGTGAGTGTTGTGACGGAGCATTTCAGGCAAATTAAAATGATTTTCTGTTTTATTCCTATTGGACTGGGATTATCTTGGTGTCCATTTAATCTGAGAGGCAGGTTACAGGACGCACAGAAGCACTTTGACCCTTGCCTGGAATGTTCCACAGTGTGACATTAAACATCTCTACCTTTATATTTATTCTTTTACAGCTGGTTTTATGGCTCAAAATCACTTAGAAAAACAGACATTCTGGCTGTGAGCTGTCATCTCTCCACAGATCTGAGCTGTAACTTGGTCTAGGTTTAAAGGAAAAGTTTAATGCCGTACTGTGGAACATTCCAGACAAAGCAATAACATCTCCATGGAAAAAAGTTACACAATCTTTATATCTATATATATTATATATATATCTTAGCGTTTTTGGTATGGGAATAATAATAAACTAATGAAAAATTTACTTTTCTACCATGTTACAGTATAATGTTGTTCTCTTATCAAAAACATACCTGCACTGCAAAAAGCAACATCTATGTAAGTTAAAGTGACTTAAATAAAAAATATTTTACTGGATACATGCATCACGAATTTCGGACTTCCAGTCGCAATTCATACTGGGAAGGATTTTCCAAAAAAGTGAGCATCAAACCGCCATGTTTGTTTTCCCAGTGGAATGTGTCTATTGTCAAAGCCTTTTTAAGTCTTTTGAACCATATCGCTTTTGTTTCTGGTTCTGATATTGTCATATTTTAGTTATGAGATTCGGACATTGTAATTGTGTGGTTGTTGGATCCTAACAGTGGAAAACAGCTAAAGAAATGGGCTTTGGAAGTTTGCGAACTTCATAAATGCAAAAAGGAATCAGATGTGTGTGACTGTAAACCTCTGTTCAAACTGTTTCCCTTCCCAAAGGAACTGAAAACTAGTGAAAGATGAAGGCGATGGGCAGGACTGATACACAAAAAAAGATGAAAAAGGAAACCTTTGACTGCCTAAATCATCCCGAGTTTGCAGTGAACATTTTGTATGCGGAGCATCTTTTGCTTTGGCGTTGACTTTTTAAATTCGTAATCAAGGTTGAGTGAGGAATCGGGATTTTGCTTTGATGTCTCCACATACAAAATGTTCGCTGCAAACTCGGGATGATTTAGGTAGTCAAATGTTTCCTTTTTTGTCCTTCCCGTGGATCAATCCTGCCCATCGCCTTCGCCTTTCACTATTTTTCAATTCCGCTGGGAAAGGAAACAGTTTGAACCACATCTGATTCCCTTTTGCATTTATGGAGTTCGCAAACAAATTTCTCATGCCGTTTTCCGCTGTTAGGATCCAACAACCACAAAATTACGATGTCCAAATCCCAAAACTAAAATATGACAATATCAGAACCAGAAACAAAAGCGATATGGTTCAAAAGACTTAGAAAAGATCGACTTTGTCAATAGACGCATCCCACTGGGAAAATCAAACATTGCGGTTTGATGCTCACTTTTTTGGAAAATCCTTCCCAGTATGAATTCTGCAATGACCGGAAGTCTGAGATTCTTGATGCGTGTATTCAAACTCTTTTTATGCTCACCCATGCTCCAACATGACAAGTCTCCATAAATATACAAAAACATGACGCAAAACTGTACACAACCACCTCACAAAGCTCACAAAGCTCTCTGCAGGGGGAGTGACTAAACACGGGGAGCAAAGGGAGGGAGGGGGGGACTTAAAATACAGCATTTTCAAAACAGTAAAATTGGATGCGGTAATCTAAATATGTTATGTGTTAGCAGTTAATACCCCGTAAAAGTGTAATACCCCCTCTTTAAATCAAATGAAATCTGTGCATTAGTGTTTGCGTAACGGCCTCGTGCTTTTACTCAAACGGTCGTACGTCACAGTGACCCACATAAGTCTATTTAAATTTTCTGGTGGAGGTTTGTCCCTGGCTTGTCTTTATTGAGATTTATTTGGCTTTACTGTAATAGTCCACAGTATGGCTTTACATTTATCACCACAAGTCGCAGGCTGCATAAAGAAGTGGATTAACGGAGTGTGACGTCAAATGAAGTCCAGTCAAATGAAGCTCACTGAGGCTGGCAGCAGGTCTGTGTTAGGAATTTGTTTACAGACGAAATAGTGACATAAAAACACAAGTTCATGTGTCATGCGGGTTAATGACGAGGCTCTCAAGTGCAGTTACAGAGAGAGGGGAGACAGTTTCTCAGTGTAAATGTAACAGTGATCACATGGTATTTGATTCCACTTGTCATTACTTTTATTGGACTAATGCATTTTGGTTGAGTAGCCCCCTCTTGTGATGACAGGTAGTGATAAGTGCCCCCGGCGCCGAGAGCACGTTGCCAGTTCATGAAAGACAGGCACGAGGTGGGTCACTGCTTTAAGATCTGTTATCTCGGTATTTCTGTTGAATTATTCATTATATGATCAGAATCAGAATCAGAATCAAATTTATTTGTCATTCCAGTATAAAAAATACACAGAAACGAAACAATGCACTCAGGTCCAGGTCAACAGCAGCACAGATAACAATAAGAACAAATAGTTATAATAAGAATAAATAGTTATAACAAGAATAAAATAGTTAAAAATATTGTATATCAACCCACCCCCATTTTCTAAAGTGCGTTCCAAGTCAGTGCTGTTTTGTAGTGTTTTTTCTGACAGAATTAATCTGTCTCACGGCATCAGGATAAAAACTGTTCCGTAGTCTCGTGGTCCTGGCCTGTAGATGGCGCAATCTTCTGCTTATGGGAGAGCTGTAAAAAGTTCATGTGCTGGATGGGTGGAGTCTTCCATGATGCTGTGGGCTTTTGTCCTGCACCTGCTGATGTAAATATCTTCAATGCAGGGCAGACTACAGCCGCAGACGCGCTCCGCAGCTCTAACTATCCTCAGGACCTAATTGTACATCTTATTCATGTCATTTGGAACATTTATGAGCTAATATTTTGTACAGTGTATGAGATTTTACACAGTAATGAACTTTTGCACATGTCGTGGCAGAAGATAAATTTTAGATGCTAATGTGACTCACTGTCCTTGTAGAGCTGCTCGCCGTGTTGAGCCGAAGGATCCTGACCAGTACATACTTTGTTTCATGCAGGTATATTTTATTTTACTGTAAAAATGTTCATATAAATGTGTATTATAGGCCAGTTGGAAACGCCCCCATGAACACTTGACAATGTCCACAATGTCCATTTAAATGTAATGTCTATGCCAAGTTATAGGTCAGATCTGTGGAGAGATGACCTCACTTGCAATAAATTTATTATTATTTTTTTTTTTCTTCTTTTTTTGATAGGTGGTTAAATTCCAAACTTGAATCATTCCAAACAAACAAAACACAATCACATTTCAATGGAGAGAAGCCACATCACTAAAGAAGTCACATGGCATCTTAAAAAATAAAATATAAATAAAAACAAATAAACAAGCTCAGATGCAAGTGTAACAGATCCATGGTGTAAGCCAAATGTGTGTTTTTTTGTTTTTTTACATAAAAATTAAAATAGTATTAAAGACTTTTAGAGAAAGTTATTATTATTATTATTATTATTATTATTATTATTATTATTTATTTATTTATTTATTTTATTTTTATTTTTTTACTTTTTTATTATCCGAGTCCAGAGGATTAAAAGATCCACTGGAGAAACCTCAGCAATGATAAAATGTCTCCCTCTGCTGGACATAAACTGACATTACATCTTCTCAATAAATTCTCAATAAAACCCGTTTTTATCGATTGATTTAAGACTATTTCTGCATTTTATATCAGCATGTTACTGTATTTTTAAATATTCAAGCCTAATTTATTTTATTCAGCAGTCGAAATCCCGTTGTTTTTGTTGTTTATATTTTGTTTGTTTTCTAATCTCTTCGTCAGTCAAGAGACAGATTTCAAACAGGTAAGAGTATAAATAAAATAAAATTAATTCACTGATAAGAAACTACCGCTCTATCTATCCATTTATAGGTTTGGTTATGTTATTTGCATTTTGGCCCTAAAATTTTGGCAGGATTATTTGGGTTAAATCAAATCTACCCAAAATGCCACACGCGATTACGCAACATTACGCACAGCTCCAGAAGCATCATATTTACAATTTCCCCTGAACACCCCTCGTATCTGTTCATTTTCTCTCTTTCTCTCCTTCTCTCTCCCTCCCTCTCCTCTCTCCCTCTCTCCCAGGTGTCGGTATCGGCGCGTTACTCGGGCCAATGGCGGACAGAGAGCGGGAGCAGAGAAAGCGCACTCCTCCTCGGGGCTTCAGGTAGGACCACAGCGGGACTCGGGGCTCCGGTGGGCGGCGTGTGCACGGAGGGAGGACCCGGGGAGGACCGTGGGGGGACGCTGCGGGCTCGTGTGCGCTCTGCTCGGCGTGTTGTGGTGTTGTTGGAGCTGCTGGGCGTGTCGGTTTCTCGGGGTGCGTGGATGGATTCTCCGGGGACAGGGTTTTCCGCGCGGTGGTTTATCGAGCCAGAGCTGTGTATATATGTCGTAACTCTAACACCTGCGGTTCTTTTACTTAGACAGGAGACGCTTTTCATTCATTCAAACATCGTGCACTTCGCGCGCCTCTTGGATTTGGTTTGTTTTGTGTCGCAGGCTGGTGCAGATAGACGACTGTTTTTATTGAAAATGACTGCACGTCATCTTCTGCACGTGCCTTATATAATTCACAATAATAACACACAATACTACCATAATACTCGTGTTAGTTTGTTTATAGTTTTAAATCTTCTCGTTGTAACGAGAAAGTCCAAATCTGATCAGAAATAAGGATTTAATTACACAGAATGAAATCAGCAAATGTTACGATGCATCACAATGAAAAATAGAAAAAATTGAAAATAACACGAGTAGTAGTAGTAGGAGCTGTAGTAGTTGTAGGAGGAGCAGTAATAGTTGCAGTAATAGTAGGAGTAGTAGTAGTAGTTGTTGTTGTAGTAGGAGTAGGAGTAGTAGGAGCTGTAGTAGTAGTAATAGTAGTACTAATAGGAGCAGTAATAGTAGAAGTAGTTGTTGTAGTAGTAGTAGTAGTAGTACTAGTGGTAGTAGTAGTAGTAGTAGGAGGCGCTGTAGACTGTAGTAGTAGTAGAAGTAGTAGGAGTAGGAGTGGTAGGAGCAGTAATAGTAGCAGTAGTAGTAGTAGTAGCAGTAGTAGTAGTAATAGTAATAGTGGTAGTACTAGTGGTAGTAGTAGTAGTAGGAGTAGGAGGAGCAGTAATAGTAGCAGTAGTAGAAGTTGTTGTTGTAATTGTAGGAGCTGTAGTAGTAGTAATAGTAGCAGTAATAGGAGTAGTAGTAGTAGTAGTTGTTGTTGTCGTAGTAGTAATAATAATAGTAGCAGTCGCAGCAGCAGCAGTAGCAGGAGGAGTTGTAGTATTTGTAGTAATAGTAGTAGCAGTAGCATCAGCATTAGTAATAGCAGCAGTAGTAGTAGTAGTAGTAGTAGTAGTAGTAGCAGTAGGAGCCAGAGCTGTGTATATATGTCGTAACTCAAACACCTATGGTTTTTTTACTTAAACAGGAGACACTTTTCATTCATTCAAACATCGTGCACTTCGCGCCTCTTGGATTTGTTTTGTTTTGTGTCGCAGGATAAAACCAATATATTCGGCTGGTGCAGGTAGACGACTGTTTTTATTGAAAATGACTGTCTGCACGTGCCATATAGGTTAATAATACATAAAAATAACACACAATACTACAATAATACTCGTATTAGTTTGTTCTTTATACTTTGAAACCCTTGTCGTAACGAGAAAGTCCAAAGCTGATAAGAAATAAGGATTTAAGGACACAGAATGAAATCAGCAAACGTTACGATGCAACACAATGAATAACCAACAAAAAATAACATGCAAGGACTAGTAGTTTGAAGTAGCCTGTAGTTCTAGTAGTAATGGTAGAAGTAGTAGTAGGAGTAGTAGTAGGAATAGGAGTAAAAGTAGGAGCAGTAGTAGTAGGAGCTGTAGTAGTAGTAGGAGGAGCATTAATAGTCGCAGTAATAGTACCAGTAGTAGTTGTAGTTGCAGTAGTTGTAGTTGTTGTAGTAGTAGTAAGAGTAGTAGGAGGAGGAGTAGCAGTAGAAGTAAAAGTGATAATAAATAGTATTAATAGCATTGCAGTAGTAGTAGTAGCAGTAGTGGCATCAGTAGTAGGAGTAGTAGGAGGTGCAGTAGTAGCATCAGTAGTAATAGAAGTACTAGTAGAAGTAAAATTAATAATATTAATAGCATCAGTAGTAGTAGAAGAATCAGTAGTAGTAGTAGGATAAGTAATAATAGTAGTAACATCAGCAATAGTAGTAGTAGTAGTAGTAGTAGCATCAGTAGTAGTAGTAGTAGTAGTAGTAGTAGCATAGTAGTAGTAGTAGTTAGTAGTAGTAGTAGTAGTAGTAGTAGTAGTAGTAGTAGTAGTAGTAGCTGTAGGTCTAGTTCTTTGATTATTTAGTTGTTGTTTTGAAGTTTTCTAATTGAAACTTGCCACCGTCTTTACATTTGACAGATTAAATTAAAGGCAAAGAGTTAAATTTGCACTGTGAGATGTTTTTGTTTCCTTTTTTCAGTTTTTGTTTGAATGTTGCTGAATAAATAGATAAATACTTTATTGATCCTTAAGGAAATTCATTTTTCGGCAGCAACAAGTGAAACACAATATGGCATTACACTCACCTATATGTGGCATTTATTCAATCACAGATGTTTGTATGACTTAAAAACACCTTGGAAATACATGTTTTTTTTTTACTGTGAGTGGGGTCGCCTCTCCACAGATCTGACCTGTGTGGTGTTTTACCTTATTGCGACACTTAAATTCAATAATGTAACCTAGTTTTTCTTTATATTTCAACTGACTCTGACTTAACCAAACATAGGCCTACACATACAGTACATTTGTCGCTAAAAATACAAATCCTGCCAAAATTCCATAAAAGGTGATGAGATTAAAGAGTTGACGACGTGACATAATCCAGATGATTACAGCGTTGTGTGGAGTTATGAGATTAGAGGCGTCCTGGCTCTGGTCCATCGGTGGTGTCAGCGTCAGACCGTCTGTGCCAGAGTGACATCAGACCTGGAGACTCGTGTTTCAGACTTGATTTCAATGCGCAGTGCAGATTCTGATGCCACAATAATAATAAAAACACTCTTTATCTAGACAACGGAATGCGATTTTTAACATTAAATCGTCGTAATTTCTTTTATACTCCCGTGTGGTCTTAAATCTGTGTAATCCCTCAGTGGTCCAGGCAGGTTCCATAGTGGTTCATGGGTGTACTAATTCTGTATTTTTGTACTGCAAGTCTCTCTGGAGTGTAAGTCGCACCAGCCAAAAAATGCGTAATGAAGAAGAAAAAAAAAAAACATATATAAGTTGCACTTTTTGGGAGAAATGTATTTACTTAAATCAGAGACGAGGAACTGACATTTCATCTTAAAAGTCAAGTTACAGTAATAACCAGAGGTGGGACTTGCAAGTTGTGCAGACTTGAGTCACTATTTTTAGGACTTGAGACTTGATAAAATAGACTAAGACTTGGGGCTCAACTTGGACTTGAAGATCAGTGACTTGAGACTTGACTTGGATTTACTTGTGACTTGAGAAGCACTTTTACATCTGAATTCTTTCTATTCTGACTATAATGATTCACACTAAGATCTTGTCAAGACATTTGAAAAGGAAAAATTAACTAAATCAATTCTCTTGTAACTCTTATATAATCTATAAATACTCATATTTAAATATACCATGACTTTTTAAGTACAATTTAGTTTAAAATCCACATAAATTGCAAAACTCTAAGATATATTTGATACTTTGGTTTAAAGACTTGAAATGACTTAAAGCTCAAAGCAGACGAGTTGCACTTGACTTGGACTTATGGGCCAGTGACTCGAGACTTGACTTGGACCTGACTGTATTTGACTTGGGACTTGATTCGGACTTGAGGTCAAAGACTTGAGACTTATTTGAGACTTGCAAAACAAAGACTTGGTCCCACCTCCGGTAATAACAATAGAACAGAGAACAACAGGCTGTTAACGTCACATATGAACAGTTCTTCAGATAAACTATAACATAAACAACAGAACAGAACAACTTTAACAAACTCTCCATCTCACTCCAAATCACTAAATCCATTCAATTCTTCATCCTCGGTGTCACTTCTGAGCAACTCCGCGACGTCCGGAGGTAAACAGAGCGCCGCTTCCTCTTCTGTGTCGCTGTCGTCAGACTCAGCATCAGTTCCATTTAGAATTATTTGGGTCTTTCTGAATCCCGACAGGATGGTTTTGCTGTCACTGAAGTTCAGACTTTGTCCATCCATGCAGTGACTTCCAGAAAAGTTGCCTGGTGCACCCTCCTGGTTGCCGTGAATGTCACAGTTCTACCATTTTGTTTATGTTTTCCCCAGTCCAGTCCCAGTCCCCGGTCCCCATTTTGCTGCCTCCTTTTCCTGCAGCTGACTCTCATTCCCTAATCAGCCCAGGATAACCTATATATACTCCTCCTGCTCAGTCAGTCTTTGCCAGATTGTTGACTTGTCAAGACGTACACTCAAGCTTTCCTTAACCTCTGTATCTCTGTACCCCGTTGTTTGCATTTAGAGCAATTCAGTTTTTTCCTTGTTGGTCATACCTGCTTCTGTGTTTATTTCCCAGTTTTTTGGATGATATTTTCATTCACGTTTGATAATCATATATTCCTCTGTTGTTGTCAGTCTGATTTATTAAATATGATATAAACATATTTATCATTACCTGTTAAAGGACACTTTCTGTTATTGAATTAAGCCTTTGTTTGCCTGCATGCTTGTGTTGCATTTGAGTCCAAGTTACCTGCGTGAGAGTGAAGCTGTGTTTTCCATCTCCGCTTTTCACCAGTTCCTCACAAGTTCCTCGCTCACTCCAGACTTTATTTCTGCTGCTTCATTACCATTTTCGGCTGAATATTTCGGCTCTTTCTGCAGGAGACATGTGCAGTAGAGTGAAGTGACAGTGGTACAGGAGTAAATGGAGTAGCAGACACTGGCACACAAGCCTACAGCGCCCTCTAGCGGTGTGAAAATGTTAATATAAGTCGCAGGACCAACCAAACCATGAAAAAAAATGCGACTTATAGTCCAAAAAATACTTATACTTCTTATACTTGTTCTGATACATCTAAAGATCAGTCTAAAGATTCATTTCTGTCCTGCGAATGTGACTTTTTTTTAGCTCAAATGAGTGTCTAGTTTCGATTCTAGTTGCAGAATCGATTAGT